AAGATCGCAGAGACAACTCTTCCGAGAGGTCACAGAAGACCCCAGGACAACTTCTAAAGAACTGCAGGCCTCACTTGCCTCCATTAAGGTCAGTGTTCACGACTCCACCATAAGAAAGGGACTGGGCAAAAATGGCAGATTTCCAAGACACAAACCACAGTTAAGCAAAAAGAACATTAGGGCTCGTCTCAGTTTTGCTAAGAAACATCTCAATGATAGCCAAGACTTTTGGGAAAATACCTTGTGGACTGATGAGACAAAAGTTGAACTTTTTGGAAGGCAAATGTCCCGTTACATCTGGCGTAGAAGTAACACAGCATTTCAGACAAAGAACATCATACCAACAGTAAAATATGGTGGTGGTAGTGTGATGGTTAGTGGTTGATTAGCTGCTTCAGGAACTGGAAGGCTTGATGTGATAAATGGAACCATGAATTCTACTGTCTACCAAAACATCCTGAAGGAGAATGTCCGGCCATTTGTTCGTCAACTAAAACTGTGTAATGAGTAGGGCAGGAGGAAGTTTAGGACCCAAGATGCAGATACCAGATGAATGAGGCAGAGGTGGAAGATGAAATAAAAATCATTTATTTAGGAGTAATCCAAGAAGGCAGGGAGCCAGTAACCAAAAATCCAAATGTCTAAAACTAGAGATCCAAAAACACTAGAGAACTAGAGACACTAGAAGCTAGAGAGCAAACGAGACGAGACTGACACAAACAATGAACCAGCAAAAATATTGAGACACAGACAGGGTTTTATACACTGGGGAGGATGAGGGGAAGATGAGCTGCAGGTGTGTGGGGAGAGAAATCAGGTGAACTCAATTACTAATCAGGGAGAGGGCAGTGAGTTGAAGAGGAAGAAAAATAACATGACCTAAGATTAAAGACAAAACCTAAAAACAAGAAGAGCAAAATAACTAATAATCTGAGGAAGGAGAAATAAAGAACCGGTGTTGGGAAAGAAACACACTAAAAGAGACTAATAGATGAACAGCTGAAACTAAAGGAAAACACTACAGAAAGAAAAAACTACAGGGGCGTGACTAAGGGGGACCACGGGAGCACAGGACCTGGAGGGGGATAACTGGGGGTGGGGGTGGGGGGACCTAGAGGGGCTGCAGATCTGGGGACACATGAGGAACACAAGAAGACACATGAGGGAGACGTAGACAAGGACACAAAAGGGCGCTAGGAGACACAAAAGGAGAACCTAGAGACGGATGGAGAACACAAGGAGACACATGAGGGAAGACTCAGACGCAGACCCTGACAAACTGAAGCGATCTTGGGTGCTGCAGCAGGACAATGACCCAAAACACACCAGCAACTCCACCTCTGAATGGCTGAAGAACAACAAAATGAAGACTTTGGAGTGACTTAGTCAAATTCCTGACCTGAATCCTGTTGAGATGCTATGGCATGACCTTAAAAAGGATGTTCATGCTAGAACACCCTCAAATAAAGCTGAATTACAACAATTCTGCAAAGATGAGTGGGCCAAAATTCCTCCAGAGCGCTGTAAAAGACTCGTAGCAAGTTATCGCAAACGCTTGATTGCAGTTATTGCTGCTACGGGGGGCCCAACCAGTTATTAGGTTCAGGGGGCAATTACTTTTTCACACAGGGCAATGTATGTTGTTCTCTCCCTAAATAATAAAAACCATCATCTCAAAACTGCATTTTGTGTTTACTTGTGTTATCTTTGACTAATGGTTAAATGTGTTTGATGATCAGAAACATTTTGTGTGACAAACATGCAAAAGAATAAGAAATCAGGAAGGAGGCAAATAGTTTTTCCACACCACTGTATGTAGAAACTAAGTAAACGGCACAGCGTTAGTAATTTTGGATAAAACCAGCCTAATCATAGTTTAAAGACCACTGAGAAGTATTTAACAGCTAAAAGACTATTAGAGTGGGACTTTAACGATGAAAGGCTACATCTCAGAACAAGAGCAACATGTCTCCATTTCCAAACATAATTTGTAAACAAATCTTAAGGCTCACTTCACACAGGAATAGGATCCCATTGCATGCTACAATGACATCTCCAAAAAGTCATCCTGGTTCCTGTTGAAGATTCCTGCAGCAGAAACACACTTTGTATTTAACTAAAGTCAATAAGGCTGGTGAAGGAAACTTTCTAAAACTCACCTCAACAGCAAACACCAACAGGACATCACTTCCAAAAATACATCAGTTTTGTCAGCATGTTGAAACTATAACAATCTACAATATTTGCTTGCCATACACCGCAGCAGCTAGCTAGACTACAATGCCAACAGTAGCTGCTTATGCAAATACATCAGGTAGAAATTTGTTTTTTTCACCACTTTCCTTTAATAAAACATATTTTAGCATCTATGAGAAAATAGCCTGTTTATTGCTCTCTGTTTTAAAGTTAGTTGGTTCAAGTTGCAGTACCCTTCAGCCACCACAGGGAGGCGCTGGCCACCCTAGCCCAGGTTGATCCTGCTTCAAAATTCTCAATAACAAAGCTGCACCACTGCATGCAGGCCCTAGGTTGTGGATTCCCTGCTGCTGCAGCCTTGACGATTAATTCTAGTATGATTTAATTTCACCCGGCAAAAAAACTCAAAGATATCATATTTTATTTTCGAGAGTGACCTGGTCCAGGAAGGCAGCAGAAAAACAGTAGAGAAGTACACAAAAATCATTCAGTGTGCAACTCCGTTTACCTCCATGCCCTTACTAACACATTTTTGTGCATGCTCAAAACCAATGTGGAGTTAGCATGTTTCACCACCAGGGCATCTTCAGTGGATCCAGCAAAGACTAGCCACCTTCTGAATGAACTTGTAGGGCTGTAGACAGATTTTATTCCCGTGTGAGGAAATCTATTCACTGGTATACGTCAAAGCTAATCTTCCCTTTAGAATTATCTTCCTTTAACGCACCTTGTTTTATTTAAAGACCAAAGCCTTATCACAGCCAGAACTTCATAACAGATATTCAATTAGATGTATCACGGCACAAACAAGAACATTTACAGAAACCTTAGAAAAGGAGTCCACACTCATCTGGTTAGAAAGAGAACACAGAACCATATTTTTTTAGTTTTAGTTCAAACAATCCAGTCAGTGGAGGAAATTCAACAGCATTGCTTCTCTCCCCAGGCACTAAAAATAGAATACGTCAAGAGGAACATAATCTGTAAGGTCATGAAAAAAACTGTTCACGTTAAACAGCGGTAATCACCGCAGGAGTGAAAGGAGCATTACAATGTTCTACTAAAAAAACTGCTGTTTGCTTAAGAAACAGAAAACTTTCTGGATAAATGAGATCTGAACAGAACTTTGCCGTTTGAAGTGAGTTTGTTGTGTTTGAAAAAAGGGAAGCACCAAATTTAATTAATGTGAAAATGATGGCGTTAGTTTGAAGGTCTCTGCTGCGAGATTTCAGACAGAATAAAAAAAAAGTCAGGATGCAAGAGGAAAAAAATCATGTTTTCAATAAACAAGACACAATCATTACTCAGCTGAAGGACTTTCTGACACAACTTCGAATGAAAATCATTAAGGATGGTCAATAATGGTACTCTTTAAGTACACACACAGAATTTACTTGAATCTGATAAAAGTAATATTAAATAATAAATATAAATAATAAATAAAAAGTCTAGGGAATTTAACCAATGAAGGTCAGGCATTGCTTTTCAACCATGCTTCAATGACTCCTGGAACAGGCCTGGACAAAAATGATGTTACCCCTAGAATAGAAAAGACTGAAAATGATGTGACCAAAGGGTCATGTTAATTCAAGCAGTGCCCATTAGTTAGCATCACAGGTGTCTACAATCCTGTAATCAGTCTGTGGGCCTGTGTATAGGGCTCCAGGGAGTCACTGTGTTGTTTGGTGGCATGGTGTGTAACACACTCAACATGGACCAGAGGAAAAGTTGACTCAGGAGAATTTGAAAAGAAATTTTAGACAAGTGTGTTAAAGGTAAAGGCCATTTGATCATCTCCAAGCAGCTAGATTTTCCTGTGACTACAGTCAGAAATGTTACTGCGGCAGCAACAAATTTTAATCGGCGCTCCAGTTTAGGGTCTTTCATATGGATCCAAACCATTTATATTGCAGATTTACTCCATATATCGTTCCCGGCGTCTTTATTTAACTCGTCCCTGTATATTCTGCATCCATTCTGGGCTTTTAACACTTCCTTTCACCCAAATCCACTTCCTCTCTGCAACATACTGTTTGTTTTCACAGTTTGTTTACACTTGTAAGGCCATCAACATGTCTGCGCACATCGCAGAATGCAACGCATGATTGCGCGTGATCCCATTTTCCCGTCGAAGCAGGTTTGAAAAACAATGTCTGACTTTCATTGGTAAAATTTCATAGAAATTTTATTTATTGTGACTTTTGTCAGATTCAAGTTATTTCTGTGACCATTGTGGGTTTTTCTTTCATTGACTGAAGGGTACCAACAGTTTTGTCTACGTCTGTATTAACCCTTTGATGCATGAATTATGAAATCTTCAACCATGATTTTTTTTTTTAATTTTCATTGGTCTTTGGGTGTGAATGAAACAAATTTCAACAAATTTTTTTGTAAAATTTTATAATTTACAAATAATTTATTACATGTCCACCTCAGTGGACAGCGTGCATTCTGAACATGAAACATGTTGGCTTGACTTACTGAAGTCCAAATGGAGGGGCTCAAATGCAATAAGTCTTCAACAGCTGTGATTAGTAGCAAAAACAAATAAATAACAATTTTGAGTACCTGTCCACTGTAGTAACCATTATGCATCAAAGGGTTAAATAAAGTAAAAACCGGTACTAACACTTTCCAATACTACTAATATCGGTCAATGATACCAGACATCCCTAAAATCATGATTTTGGATGCCAGCTGTAGGACCAAATGAAAGCGTGCACAACAGTTCTAACACTGCCTATAAAACTTTACATAGCAATGGTTGAAAGCGAGCATCATTCTGAACATGAGGAGTCATTTACCAGGGTTGTGAGATGTGATGACATCAGCGAGCTGCAGCTCAGGAGCTGGCTCCTGTTTGCTGTTCCCTCCTTCTTGGAGTTTATCCACCATGGCGATCACACAGTTGAGACATTTGGCCACGCTGGCCCAAACCCGGTCCTAAGGAGGACAACCAGCTGTCAGAACACCTTAACACCTGAATGAGTCAACCTGTTTCATCTCACTGTTGGACATATTATAACTCAGTAAAGTGGAACGACTGAAACTAGGCGAGCAAAAAGGTTCTTCTTATTCCAGCAGAGTCAAAACTGGTTTGAAATTGAAAACAAAAGCTGCATGGATTATGCTCAAGGTATTTCCATATTTTCCTGCTTCATGAGCTCCAACTGATGCAGACATTCTCATTCCTGAGTGTGTTTAGGGTTCGTTCTTATTTTCAGAAAATATGGATTGAACTTGTTCCAAAGACGAGGAACGTTCTCAAGGCAGCTCCGCTTTGGTGAACAGAGAACATAATGAACTCTTGCTCTCCGCACAAACGAATGCTTGGCTCGGGGTTCTGTGAAAATTTTACAGCCTGAAACTCTGCAGCCATACTTGTCAAAGTGCAGTAGCCAGAACACTTTAAAAAGCACATTTTCTAAGTGAAAGTCTAATTTCCAGCATAAAGTTGAATTTTCCACTGAACTGAAAGGATTTTATACAAGTCTCTCTTAAAAGCAGCGGTAGCTTATTTCTTTATATCTGCAGAACAAAAGCAAAAATCACATTAAAGATTATATTTAAAAGAACAAATTTTCCCCTTAAAGGTGTGGGACACTCATCTTATTACTACATTTGCAATAGTCTCAACTAGGAATGAATGCCACATCAGAGGAGAGCTTAACACGGCAGGATTTGGCGCCTTACTTCCAGATATCTGGGCATCTTGCCACGGATTGAATAACAGCAACAGGACTCTACCACTGACTCTCAGTGTTGGGAGTAACGCCGTTTAAATATAACGGCGTTACTAACGGCGTTCTTTTTTAGGTAACTGAATAATCTAATTAATTACTTTTCCCACTGTTGCAACGCCGTTACCGTTACTGGGGACGGAAGGTTGTGCGTTACTATGTGCTTGTCGAACGTTGAGCAACAGTGTGAGGCTTTCTGACCACAACACATCAGCTGCAGCCAGGGAGAGAGAGGTGTCGGTAACGCACTTACAAACACGATGATGATTGGCTGGGTGGGCGGAGACCCTCAGTGTTCTCACTGTCTCAGAAACTGCCTGCTGTAGACCCAACAGAGCAGTGATGGGAATAACGCCGTTAAAAGTAACCACGTTAATAAAAAAAATATTTCTTTCTGTAACGAGCAAACTAATTAATTACGTCTTCTTTTAACAAAACGTTGTTTCTGTTACTGATAAGGAAATGGTAAATGGTAAATGGCCTGTATTTGATATAGCGCCTTCTAGAGTCCTAGAACCCCCCAAGGCGCTTTACAACACAATCAGTCATTCACCCATTCACACACTGGTGGGGATGAGCTACAATGTAGCCACAGCTGCCCTGGGGTGCACTGACAGAGGCGAGGCTGCCGAGCACTGGCGCCACCAGTCCCTCCGACCACCACCAGCAGGCAACGTGGGTTAAGTGTCTTGCCCAAGGACACAACGACAGCGACAGACTGAGCGGGACTCGAACCAGCAACCTTCCGATTACGGGGCGAGCTCTTAACTCCTGTGCCACCGTCGCCCCAAATGCGTGCGTTAAGCAGCACGGTGTGTCGAAGCTGTCATCAGCTGATCAGGAGCTAAAGAGGTAGATGTTTTCATCCAAGCGCATCACGGCCCGTGAAGAACGAGGAAGACGTGATGAATATCTACGGCTGCAGACCCGCAGATTCGTCACTGCAGCAGCGAATCTGCGGGTCTGCTGCCGTGCCCTTCCTAGAGTGACAGCGGGACGTCCCGAAGGTCCGCTCACCTGTTCACCGCTCAGACGTCCTGATCTTCTACCTTCCTAGATCATCCAGCTGTAACTTGTTTCTGATCATGTCTTTAGTCCCGCTGTAACACTGATACATCAGTCTCAGACGGCATGGAGCTCAGGTGTTATTAGAACTACCTGTGTGTGTGTTTACCACCCAGCTTCAGCTCTTCTGTGGTTGGGTCTGACCCAAGTTAGTAAATGTAAGTCCTCCATCAGGCTTGTTCCTCTTCTAGTGTCATTTTAAAGGATTTTATTTATTTATTTAACCATTAATAGATTACCAGAAACAGAAATGCTACTAATAACACACAATTACGTATGTGAATCTGGAAAAATTAAAATGCTGTGCAAAACTACATTCATTTCTGTAATTTAACTAGACTGAGAGACCATTTAAAGGCTCAGGAACCTTTACAGGTGTTTCTATTAGCAATTTTAAATTTTAGCTGATTGGGGTCTTGTTAAATATCACACAGTGACCTTTTAATAGTCTAGATTAGTGTAATGCTGCTGTTAGTAGTCCCTCCTGTTAAGTGCTTATTTATTTAAATTATTCAGGTTTATAAAAAACATTTGGACATACATTTTATTATGTTCCAGTCATTACTCATTTATATTTCACTACTGTAGTAATTCTTGCATGCTTTAATGAAAAAAGTAACTAAGTAGTTATTTTTCTTGGTTATTTGTTACTTTTATAATCTTGTAACTCAGTTACTAACTGAGTTACATTTTTGACAAAGTAACCAGTAACTAACCAATTACATTTTTAAAGTAACGTTCCCAACACTGCTGACTCTGCTCTGCAACATGGATGTTTTATCTCAAACAAATCACACAAGCCTGAAGGAGTTCTGCAGTGTGGTGGAGTAGCTAATGCTAACAATTAGCTTCTAGAACGTTCTCTGCTGTTTCCTGGATGCTAAACCAACAACAGCCTTCCTCGTCATGAGATAAGTTGGATGAGTCCATGAATGTTAAGTGACAGTGTGACATAGATCTGTCAGGCTTTTCAAATCCTAGAGTTTCATCATCTATTGTCGATCAGAAGCTAATGCAGGAGATAGGTGTAGGAGACATTTTTCATGTTCAGCCTGCATGAAAAACTCAGAGTGACTGATAATTAGAAATATATTTTAAAAGATTTCAGTGTTCCACAGCCTTAATTAATTTGAATGGAGCTCATTTACAGTTTTTTTTAACAAGAATTAATTTTAATATTGATTAACTTGATGAATGTTTTTTTGCTAATGTGATGCTGTCCACTAAAAGTTGCACAAAATTTACTTTAACTTCATATTACAGAAGAAGGAAGAGGAGGCATGATTAAAACTTTAGAAGTATTACCCATTCCTCCTCATCAAACTCCTTGTGATGCGGTATTGAGTCTTGGTGCTTCAGAGCTGCAGGCCCAGCTTCTTCAGCAGATCCCTCCACGTTGTTACACACCACTGGGCTCTCGGTGACCGGAGTGGCTGGACTGTGTCCTGGAAGTCCCTGGACCGGGTTCTGATTCTGCTCACTGCCCTGGTTGACCTGACGATGGCTCTGCTCCAGCGGTTGCTTCTGGCTCTTGGTGACGTACCCCGGCCGAGCAGCGTGCAGGGCGAGCAGCGCACTCTTGACCAATTCATCCTTAAGCGTGTGAACAAATTGTTCCGTCTGTGGCAAAACAAGTGGGGCAGTGAGTTAAGAAGGGGCCAACAGTGATATTTACAGTAGAGTAACACAGCAAAATATAATGAATGTGCTGAAAAACCAAGAGATAGAGTGGATGTCATGTTGTGGAGAGCGGCTCGAAGACAAAACAAGGGAACTATTTACAGAGGAAGGGAAAAGAAAAAAGTGAAATGAACTCTATCCTTCACCACAAAGAAGCCGCTCTCCATTACTGCACCCCGGCTGGTGAGGAGAATAACAGCAACAAGCAACAAACAATTCAATTACTCCTCCACCTCCTCCTTCAGCCGGCCTCTCCAAGGAGTGCCCCCACCACTCCATCCCACCTTCTGAGACCAGATTGAGCAGCTACTGTAAACTGATGAGGATCCTGGTTCCAAGCTGCTCAGATGAAAAATGATCAGCTCTCTCAGGAGTAATCAAGTTACTTTTCACTGAGCTGTTCCATTACCACAGAAATGCACAGACGGGCCACTGCAAGGTCACATTATACACACGTTTGCCCCCCAAACATCATTTTCCTGCCTCCATTTCCCAGATTTTGGGCTGAGCTCATCAAGGGCTCCAGAGATGGAAGGAGGTGCTTCGTCGGCACCGAGGTCAATAGCTGTGGTGAAGGATCCCCGGTCAAAAGCTCACACAGCTTTGTGCGGATGCCATAATGAAGCCATTTCAGACTTCATTCGGCTTTTGACTCATGCAACGTCAATTTGCCACCCTCTGTAAAAGACTGCGTGTACAAATGAGCCGTCAGCATTCTAATGAAGCAGTCATTTTCAAGTTTCTAAGTGTTGGTTTCAAGATCAGTGGCAGCAGAGTGTTTTAATAGCCACCTGCTAGTCTGCAAGATCATCTCGACCCTCCAAAACGAGAAAATGATTTTCATTTTAAACCTTACTTCTCTCTGAGTGACTTGAGTATATTTAAGTATTGGAGACAGACTTTGTAAAAGGAACTTTAACTCCAGCCCCTGAGCTTTCACAATGTTCGTATAGAGTCCAGCTCTGGAATGGCTCTGGGTTTGTTGGATCATGCTTCCGTTCTACTTTGGGTCAAACCTCTGCTGTCATTCTAGAATATTTTACCATAAGGAGAAGTTAATGTTTTGACTCGGCGACTGTGAGGTTCAGAGTTTCTGTGACTGCAGAACAAGTCGAATCAACAGCACTTTTATCTCTGCACTTGACAGTTTGGGGAAACATCTGTGATACGTGGTTCTGATTTGTCCAAAGAACATTATCCATGGTTTTATTTTTCTCATTTAAAATCAACTGTCATGAATTTTTCAGGAGAAATCTGCTTTCTCCTGGCAGCCCCTTTAAAACAAATCAAGCCTTTTCTAATTGTCTTGTCATGAACTTTGACCATCACCGTGCTAACTGAAGCCTGTGGAGCTCGTTGGTTTTCTGCAGTTTCTCAGAGTTCTGAAGTCTGACCTTGGGGTGAACCTGCTGCTGCATCCGCTTCTGGGAAAAAGGAAACCGAAACATTTCCAACCTTCAAAAGTCTGTTGCTTGAAATGACAGACTCCAAATGGCTTGGAAATGGCCTTGTGAACCTTTGCAGACGAATGAACAGCCAAAACTGTTTCAAACTTTACAAAAATTCCCCATTTACATTTAGTCAATAGAGTTGAAAATGAGAACCAGAATCAGAAGAGTTTCATTGCCATATGTACGAGAAATCACAACATTAGAAAATTACTTCTGTACTTGGTGTAAAAAGAAAGATAAAAATAAGAGATCAGTAAATACAGAAAGTACAAATAAAATCATGATAAAATAATATAAGTGACAATGATTAGAGAAATGTCTACTGTATACAAGACAGTGTCGGTACTGGTGAGAGCGGATCAGTTCAGGTACAAACACAAAACAAGGTCATGTGACCGAAACCAAGCGACTGCAGTGGGTAATCCTAGGATGGTCATTCATGAGTCCAACAGCAGCGAGAGGTTTTGGTCTGAATGGATCTGAGCCTCCTGCCAGTTGGGAGAGAGTCAAAAAACTGTTTCCAGGGTGACACGGGTCAGGTGTGATCCGACCCGCACGCCTCAATGTCTTGGAGGTGTACAGGTCTTGTTTGGAGGGGAGTTTGCAGCCAATGACCTTCTGAGCAGGGCGTACGACATACGCTGCAGCGTCTTCATGTCTCTGGTGGTAGCTCCAGCCTACCACATGATGACTGAAGAGGTGAGGACGGACTCGATGATTGCGGTGTAGAACTGCCTCATCGACTGTGCTGGCAGGTTGAATTTCTCTGAATGCAGAAATGTTCTCTTTTCTTAAGCGGCCGCATCAGTAATGTCAGTTTACTCCGCTCCTTCCCTCAGAGACAGAGGATAGTAAAAATTTCATAATGTTTATGGTTTTTATAGGACGAGATTAAATGGTAAATGGTTAAAGGCCTGTATTTGATATAGCGCCTTCTAGAGTCCTGGATCCCCCCAAGGCGCTTTACAACACAATCAGTCATTCACCCATCCACACACACATTCACACACTGGTGGGGATGAGCTACGATGTAGCCACAGCTGCCCTGGGGCGCACTGACAGAGGCGAGGCTGCCAAGCACTGGCGCCACCGGTCCCTCCGACCACCACCAGCAGCTAAGGTGGGTTAAGTGTCTTGCCCAAGGACACAACAACAGTGACAGACTAAGCGGGCTTGAACCAGCAACCTTCCTATTACGCGGCGAGCACTTAACTCCTGTGCCACCGTCGATTATAACCACCACCTGCCTTGTCAATGTTGCATTAATCATACAGTCACCGAGTTTAACACACGCTGGATCACATTCATGGCAATCTAATGTAAATCAATCATTTGGAGTTTGCAGTATGCACCATGATCATGCCCCGTTAAAGGGACATTACGGAGTTTAGAATTTTTATGCTCGTTATTGCCCCCTCAGGCCAAAAGCGTAACGGCAGCTTCAATAGTAGGCTCGTGCACGAGGCGCGCATGCTGTACGTGCACACTCCTTAACGAAAATAGCAGCTGAGACAGTCAGCTCCGTGTGTGTGTGTGTGTGTGTGTGTGTGTGTGTGTGTGTGTGTGTGTGTGTGTGTGTGTGTGTGTGTGTGTGTGTGGCCCGGAGGACAGAGGACAGGAGAACGCGCAGCTAATTAATTAAATAATTTGGTTCTGTAACTTCCTCTTCAGCACAGCCGACAAAGGTTTATGATGGGTCAGTCCTCCTGCATGCTCAGATCATTCCCCTCCCTTGCTTGAAAAATTGTTCCAAAATGAAAGTTGAACCCACATCTTTTTTATCTGTGAATTCAATGCCATTTGGCGAGTCTCAAATAAAAATTTGGGCATCTTACTGTAAAAAATATACCACTAATGTAAAAAAAAAGAAACTAAATAAACCATGTTCGCATCCAGAATTGAACATGGGTCTTCTGCATGAAAGTCCAACATCTTACCAGGCGAGCTAACGCACCAGTGACATCACTTGTATCTGTACCATTTAAGAACGGTTTGGAGGGCTATGCCTGAGCGTGAACGCACATGAAGCAGCCTGCTCGACCCGAGCATCTCTCTTTTTCTGTGATTTTACAGAAAAACAGGCAATCACAGTAAAAATGCCAGGGCTCATTCTACAGGACCAGGGCATTGCAGGAGAATGTATTGGCTGTCAAACTTCCATAATGCCCCTTTAAAGTAAAAACACAGGGGAGCTCTACAGCAGAGGCAGGGGTCAGAAGCTTCTGCTTAAATCATATTTCCACCACTTTTATCCCTACCTCATACTTAGTGTTTGATGTTTGTATGTCGTGGGTGCATTCCACATATCAATCTCTTGCACTTATTTTGTGCTTGTCGAGATTCATGCAACTTGTACTGATAATTTCAAAAGGCATCTTCATATTTTGCATTATCAGAATAATATTTAGCTAATTTTTTGTATATGAAACAAAGATTTTTTGGGGGAATTACAAAAGTTTGGTTGGCTAGTTTACAGAAGACCCCAGTTGTCCCCATTGTGGGAAAGTAAAGGATATTTCTATTCTTGAAACTCATGGAATGGCAGTGAGAGGGTAAGTTTTTGGTTTAGAAAAATAGCTGCAGTACCCTCATTTCATTCTAATTTCTCTCTCACATATTGCATCTTTAAAAGGTTGAGCAGTTGAGAACATACACAATCCCACACACTATAGCGACATCTAGTGTGTGGGAATTGTAGTTGCAACAGTAGAACAAGGTTTCCTGCTGTTGGGATGTCAGGTTTGCTAGGAAGTGACCAGCCAGCTAGCACCATGTCCAATGACCACTCATATAGGGTAAAGGCTACATTTATTTTACAACAGTATTTAACATTAGAACATCTTCTGGGCTCAGAAGCAGCTGCTTGATTAGCAGAGTCCGCCATTTTCCACAGTGCTGGCCTCGTTGTGCAGAGCAGAAGGCTTGGCAACCTGCAATGTTGCCCTCTATTGGTTGGTAGAGGTTAAGTAGGTGTTGTGCCCATCAAAACAAATATTTGATTATTTGTATATTGAAATATAGCTTTTAACAGAAATTCTGTACCTTCATTCTGCAAAACTCTAAATGCCCCATGGAGGTATTATTCTAAAAAAATAGTGTTTTTATTAAGTTGTTCCATATTCAACCTTTAACTCAGGGGCAATTTGACATGAGAGATGACATGGCGGGTAAAGTAATTTAGCCTTTAAAACCATGATCCGCTCAAACTCATCTACCAAGTCAAAGGGGAGCGATTCAAGGGGGATTTGGATGTGCAAAAAAGAAACACAAAACAGGTGTGCATTCTCTGTGACAATACAACAGTTATATAACAATATGCATAAATGCTAGAAGTTTCTTAAAGTGACAGAGTGTTGTTTCCTGGTGCTAGGGGTCAGTACATGCATACACTTCAGGGTAGTTTTACACCATGTCGCCATGACTGTTGCTAGTTTACAAGGACATCACCGTTAATGTTACCTGTGCAGCAGAAAGCATGCAGCCTCGGCG